ACCATGTAATATTTTTTTACAGTGTACATGCAGTGCAGTTACTGTTTGTATATGCGAACTGACAATTCACCAGTGTTATTTTGAAAAGTGTTTTATTTTTTTATTTATTATATTTTGGCTGAATTCTATTTGTTATTCAGATTTTCCTCAAACATTACCTTTGAATTGGAACAACATAATGAGAAGTAATTGGGATGTTAATGATAGAAGTTTTCTTGATAATCTTATGTTTACTGTGCCTATAGATGGCAACTTCAGGTATATCACAAATTTCAAACTTGTTTATTTTGTAGATTACTGGTTTACTCAAGTGGTAATTTTGCATTTTTGGGTTTATATGATAAACAGGTTAAAAAAAATGCAAAATTCCCTATGGTTTCGCTTTATTTCAAAATGGGCAATTTTAGCATAATTTTTCTCAAAAACTGCAAGGTTGTGTGCGGAGAACTTTTTCCTAAGGAATCTCTATATTTTTCCGATGTTAAATAAAAAAAAAAAAGTAGGTATAGTGCCCCACTTGTTGGAACGAAACCCTATTTCTAGGCCTCTTTTAGGCTACTGACAGTGGCCTATAAGTGATGACTCACCGTGGGATGCAGGTTTGCGAGGAACAAAGTTCGGAAGTTAAAGTCCTCCTCCATTCCAGGCTCGTTCTGTGCACCGAAGTAGGCTTGTCTGATGCGACTGTAATAGGTCTGTGGAGTTTCCGGTCGCGCCTGCTTGAGGTTCACGGCGGTGATTAGTCCTTGATCCGTTTCTGAACCAGAGAATGGGCTTTATGCCCAGCTGCACTACTCCCTGAACTTCAGCCAGCTCCTTGTTTCCTGTCTGCAATTATTGGCCAAATTGATTAATCCAGGTGTGCCTGCATGACCTCAGTTGTCATGGCAACAATAATCAGACACACCTGAATTAATCAATTTGGCCAATTTAACAGTTTAAATAAATAAGAAAATGGTTTAAACTATGTTTTACTTCTGATATAAACATTTAGATTAAATATGCCGTTCTCATTACTGGAGTTAAACTCTTAAACTACATGCAATCATTACTGAGAAGTTACAATATATATATATATATATATATATATATATATATATTCAATAAATAGAAATAGACCTATTTGTTGTGGATGCATTGCTTTTGAACACTTTTCTTCTGGCATGCTGTGTTTTAATGTTTTAACTAGAGATTGTCTGAGAAAACTGTTTCGTGCAAATAATGCACAACCATGTCTATCTCTTTTTATTAAAATATAAATCAATTAAAAATACTATTTGGCCAGTGGAAAAGATTGAGAAAAACTTTCTCTGAAATGTATTTAACACTATTTGATTTATTCATTCAAAAACAAGGCAAGGATATAGGCTACTAAAAAAAAATGTTTGTAATAATGTGACGGCACATCCGCATTTTATATTTTCCTAACGTCTTGTACCGTTAAACTTGGTATGACGTGGATGAATATAATCATATGCAAGTGATATGTAGATTAGGATATGCATATTTATACTAGGCGTTGTAATCTCCATATATGGTTATTTTGGGGTGGAGACGCACGTGCGCACAATCTCCCGCTGACTGGGATTTATAAAGTGAATTCTGCGCAGGTTCTGGCGTACGAACGGTTTTATAAATCTGAAAACTTTTGTGCGTACGCAAATTCTGCCTTATGTGCGTACGCACACTTTAAGGATGAAATCTACGCAAAGTTACATGAGGCCCCAGATGTCTCGTTCACTTCTCAGACGTTTTGTGCTTTACAGAGAAGAAAGGCTGATCATTAAATTTATATTACATGAAAGACACATGATCAAATGAATAATTGAGTTTTATTTAATTCCCAAAAATACAGAACAGTGAACAATGGTTAGAATTAGTGTTGTCACGGTACCAAAATTTCAGTATTCGGTACCAATACCAGTAAAAAATTCACGGTTCTCGGTACTAATTTCGGTACCAAAGCTTAGTTTAAATTTACATATATTTAAGTGTTTATCACGGTTACAAGTATGGAAACTGTACATTTGTATTATAAACACTTTAGAAAAAAATTTGATAAAATGACCTAAAATAAACAATAGTATACACTAACACATTTTTAAAGTTGTTTGTAAAGTTCTAATCCGTTAACATTTATTTAATGCACAATGAATGAAGTGAACAAACATGAACAATCAAGTGTTTCTATTAAATAACATTTACAAACATTAATTCATGTTGTAAAAATATATTGTTCACTCAATGTGTTGATGTGAATTAGCTAATGTTGATAAATGGTATCTTATTGTAGCATTACCAAACGGCTACAGGAGAAAAAACATGTTTTAGGCTATTTGATTTTACTGTACTTTTATTTAATCTAAAACTGCATTCATATTTAATTTTGAAAAGGCTTTTTAAAACTGCTGAGTTATAACGGCAAGAATACGCCTAGAACTGGCACTGACATTACATGACATAAATAGGGATGCATCGATAGGCTACTAATACCAGTACTCTGGTCAGCGCCGGCCCGAGCCTTTTGGGGGCCCTAAGCAGAATTTGATTTGGGGGCCCCTCCCACGACGTGGAGTCACCTGTGTTTGACGATTATTGACATAAATGTCACGCAAAAATGATACATTATAAATGAATACACTGAGGTTATGTATTAATAAAAAAATAGATGCCTACTTAAATAAAAAAGTTTTAAAACAGTCTTAAAACTGTCTCAAAACATATAAAATAAATGATTTGCTAAAATGATGACAAAACTGAGAAATTAAACGTAAGAGCAATGATACTTTGGCCTATCCTTCATGGGACCCAGGAACAGACTTTTGTCCACTGTAGTGGACATTATATTTTAGTGTATTTCTCTGACACCATGCATGTCACATTTTTTTTTCTGGATGTCCTGTAAAGAGCACATTCAGGGCAATACAGAGATACCAAATGTTTGGAGGTTTCACCATGAAAACAACTTCTCCTTGGTCTTTAAAAATGTCTAACATTAATTTAGTGATCAAATGTAGCACTCTTATTGAAATATGGTAATATATTGTAATTATAATTTAAATCTAACTACTTTTAAAATTGTATTTCATCAACCAACATCTCATGAAAATGTTATGGGGTTTCAAATGAAAAAAATGACTTTCCGTTACAGGGCATTGATTTCATTCATGTCCACTGTAGAGAACATCAGGACATAAATCATGTTTATCAGGCATTCTGGGAGACATAACAAGTGAATATGTAAATAAATTATACGTCAATATTCTTATGACATATTAGATATTATTATTAAAATGTTGCTTATTATTACTCCAATGCTTACACTTCTTTTTTCATTAAATGTTGCTCCAAGAACACATGTGCAAATTAGATACAGTGTATAGATACTTTGCATTGAATGGGAATATTAATTTATGCCAATTTTACCCATATATTGCATAAAGTAAATTGGTGTATCAATTAATTCCATTATATCTTTCATAACATAGTTGAGAATCATCTTTATACAAATTTTAGTTTAAAAAAATCCTGAAACCCCAAAATGTATTGGTGATTGGAAAAAAAAATCCCATTGTTTTTGCCTACACATTGTATGTCATTTAATTCTAACAACTGAGTCCTGGTGTCCACTACAGAGGACAAAGTATTACATATGAATAAAATATAATTTTTCAAAAAGGTTTTTTTTTTTTTTTTTTTTTTTACCATTTGTTTATTATGCTCTAAACAAGGTGATGACATGAAAAAAAAACTAAATAAAAAAAAAAAAAACTTTCTGGGTCTCAGGAGGCTATTGTTGAAAACTAAAAATATTACTAGCCTATTTCTCAACTGTCTCAATACAGAGTAACTATCCTCAAAATCTTTATTATTGTTATTATTATTATTGTAACAGACTTTGTTATATAGTACATGACATAATCCAACACAGTCTGTTACTATAATACCGGTTATGATGTTCTGGCGCTCGTTGTATGTGTGTATGCAATGTATTTTTCCCCTCGGGGCTTGCCGTAGATGGGTCGTGCGCACTTGCTAGGCTACTGGAGTGTCGCGGGTGTTTGGAGATCTGATGTGTGGTATAATAAAGTGGAGAAGAGTTCAAACTGCTATGTTTATTATTTATTCAAACTGCTACCCTTACACCTTGAAGGATAAGTTCTCAGGCGGGCTATTTTCTCCAACTTAAACCGATACCGTGACTAGGCGCAGTTGCGCACGAATTGTCTATGCACGCACGAGGTGTCTAGAAGATTATGCGTATGACTTAAACGCTGGCAGACAGAGCAGCAGTTGTAACTTGTAGGCAGGTATATTGATCATTAAATCAGAATTTTGTTGTCTTGAACTATTCATTCAGTCATATTCATTCATTCATTCATTGATTTATGTCACTTGTTTAAGTCATCTAAAAAAATAAAAATAAAAAATAACCTCGATTAGGGGGCCCCCTGGTGGCCAGGGGGCCCCAAGCAGCCGCTTAGTTCGCTTATGCCTCGGGCCGGCCCTGACTCTGGTGTCGGTTGGATACTACTGTGCTCATGTACTCGTAAAACTACCCCGAAAGCACTTTAGAGGCCGTTCACATATCGCGCGTGTTTTTTTTTATTATTATATTTTTGCGCGTGCTTATTCTTTCCAAAGCGCTTGCTCTCACGCGGCGTCTGTCGTTGCTATGCAACGAGTTTTTATTATGAGCGCGCTTGCCTCGCGCCTATATTTGAAATTGCGAATTTGCATGTAATCGGCTTCTTATGGCAACGTGACATTAGCCTAATCCAAAATATTTCCATATGTGGCTCTTTCCTCCTTTCGTGTCAACAAGTGGATTCAGAGAGAGAGAGAGCCATAGCGTTATGAAGAGGACGCAACTGTGCACCTTTCACAGCGCGTCTAGAACTGGATTAACCTGGTATTCGGTACCTAGAAAAGCTGGTACCGTAACATTTTTTTTAGTACCGACTTGGTACCGAAGTACCGAGTTTTTTGACAACAGTTAGAATTAAAAAAAAAAAAAAGATTATGACTAGGCCTACTGTTCTTCAGTAACCCTTGCTTTTGAACCACTGGGCTCGGGCCACAACATCATTGGAGTAATCACCGCCTGTGGTGCCAACGTCCATGCGCTCGTATGTACGGACGTTCTTCACACCTGCGTTGTAGGCTGATATTCCCCCTGGAACAGACATTATAATCACACTAGGAACACTCACTTAAAATCAAGGCAATCACATACTATTAACATTTATACTCTGCAAAGTTGACATTACTTCTAAAACCTTTGTGAAATCTTATAAGTTTACATGACCGTGTGTAAGTTAATAAAAGTTTTAATTAGAGTTATTTTATGGATACTCTGGGATACTAGTGTATCCTAACCCTACCTTTAAAGCATTGATCTTGGGTCCACTGGGGAAACTTTGCTTTAATTTCTTTAATGAAGCCAATGAGAATCTCAGTTCCTTGTGCGACATGCTCCTCACTGTCCCATGCACCTACTGGAGTGTGGTAGCGTTTATCAACCTGAAAAAACAACAACAACAACAAAAACATCAGTAATAAAGAGAATAACAACTAAATATGTTACAGATTAATAAATTGGGTCAACATGTGGCAAATTAAGGAAGCACAGCAGGGGGACTGTTGCTTTGAATAGGGAAGTTGGGAAAATCAAGTTTACACAATAATTGAAAAAACAACAACAACCCAACATCATCTTTTTATGTAACACAAGTCTTTGGATGGCCTGACAAACTACAATATTTGACGTGTTGAATTCATACAGTGTATATTGTTATATCCTAATCCTTCCCAACTGTCTACAAAAACAAAACAAAGAATGCTCATTATTTTTAGGTTCCTTAATGCAAAACAATATATAACATTAATGCTTTTCATTTATTCTCTCTGATTAGTATTTCCATTTTATTTTCAGATTTACTGTAGTTTAAACACCCATCTTATGTGCACTTGCACACCGTTTATCCCTCATATTAAGATCTCCCTGTCATGGAGTTATTGTTTTCAAATAGACTAGATTTATTCCTCTAACCAACCTGCATGAGACCAAAGCCATTGCCACGGTCGCCCCACCCATCCTTCAGAGCGGCTCCGGCTCTGGACTCTCTGGATATGATCCCCGCGATCACAGCCGGGTCCATCTGCTTTGCTCTGCCAACTTTAGTGATTATACTCTTGTATTTATCCATCCTGGTCAGATCAGCCTCAGCCAGTTTTTTGGAGGCTTCAACACCTTTGAAAATAATAAATCTATAAAATACAATGTAGAGCATATATTGGTAAAGTTTGGTTACTGGACACAGTTAGACAGTCATACCCTTTACGGTTAATTTATCCTGTTTTGCTGTCGCCTCTGATGCACCGGTGGTGTCTATCTTCATGATGTCTCCATATATGCATGCTACAAAAAACATGGCAAATATCGTCTGAAGGCCTTTAAAAAGGATAAACCAATGATTTTCAAACAGAACATTAATGTAGCCTACTAGACTACTATTAGTATCACATTAAGTAAGGTATTATTTAGCATAACATTATTTGTCTTACCCATGATGACTCGAAAATGTTGTAAACAAAACAAAACAATCAAGACCACAGATTTTTTTGTTAACTTGTTGCTGTCGAACTGGTTTCTCTTTCTGTTTTACCAGCTCTGCAGTGAAGGTGGGGCAAAATCAAGTGCTGACTTCGGGGAATTCCCCTTTTTTTAGGTTTGGAGATTAAACAAGGTTTCATTTGTTACCCCCTTTAGTTAACATGAACTACAACACATCTACAGAATGTATTAGCTTAACTTGTATCTTATCTTAATGAAAGCATCAGCTAATCTTAGCTAATGAAAGTTTAGCAAAAAACAAACAAACAAACCAAAAAAAAACACTTAGTTAACTGTTAATTCCCTGTGAACTAACATAATATAATATTAATATTAGCAAATAGCCTACATGCTGTAATTACTCATTGCTGGTTCACGTTATACTAATGCACTAACAAAACATAAAATCGAGAAAAACGATCAATACACTAGAGAAAAACGTGTACTGCGCCTTTAAGAACAGTCCCCAGCAGCCAGTCTATGAAAACCAGGAAGCAAAACAAAAAAACACTGGAAGTAACTGGACATGTTACAACATAAAATAAAGATGCAGATACGATAGTATTGACTTTAAACTATATCGCTTTATTAAACACACATATATTAACATAATGTTTGTAAATACTCAGATGTGGTTTTTTGTTTTGATTTTACACGTTTTGGGGCAAGCTGTGTTTGCAAAAGACAGCAAAAAGTTCAACATTTTGTATCTACTTGCTGATGATTTGAGACCAACTTTAGGCTGCTATTCTGATCCAGTGGTCAAGTCTCCAAACATCGACCAGCTTGCATCTGTGAGCTCGGTGTTTCATAACGCCTATGCCCAGGTATGTTGAAATATTGGTCATGAAAACCATAGATGCATGATACTATATAAAGCTTTATTAGTAGTGCACATTTAAGTTACAGGTGTACGTTATGTTCTTTTAAAGCAAGCTGTTTGTGGACCTAGTAGGGTGTCTTTCCTAACAAGTCGAAGACCAGACACAACAAAGCTGTATGATTTCAACTCATACTGGAGAGTTCATGCAGGGAACTACACTACACTCCCTCAGTACTTCAAGTCTAATGGATACACCACTTTATCAGTGGGAAAAGTCTTCCATCCTGGTAACTAGACCACATGATGCACTGTATGCATGATGTCAAAATGCACACAATCTGATTTTTTTATGCTAAATTTGTTCTTTTTCATTTTGGCATTTCTTTTTGATGAGAGTTGCCCTGTAACCCTTTCATGTGTTAACCGTCTGGTTTGATGTTTATCTAATAATGTTTCTCTTTTACGTGCTCGTCCTCAAGGCATTGCCTCCAACCACTCGGATGATTACCCGTACAGCTGGTCTGTACCGCCGTATCATCCACCCTCTTTTAAATATGAAAAGAGGAAGGTTAGTGTGTGAGTTGGTGTGGATATGTGTACACACTTCCTCAATGTATGTGCTTTCAAACCCATGCTGTCCTGTAAACACACACACACACACACACAAACACATTGTTTATAAGGTTGTAACAATATATTGTGTCAAAATATATTGCAATATAAAATTGCAACAATATGCATCATGGATAGTGACAATATTGTGTATAGTTCTATTTTTTACAGTCTATGTTATAGTTACTGTGTGTGACACAATTCAAGTGCACAGAGTTTTAGTGTCTGTACTACTACATTAAATTACTATATATAATGTATAATTAATGCAATGGGGGAATATTTGTGGTTTCTGATAATGCCAAATGTCGTACAACACCAGTAAAATACGTAGCCTATACATTATTTTAAAATGTATCTAGTCCGTGAAAGAGTGCAAGCTTATTAGTCTGAGATAATTCTGTATTTTCAGTTCCAGAATCATGAAAATGTTTATTCTGGTGTCACTTTTGTGATACCAGACATAAGTGGACATATTACCATATGTCTTGGAGTATCGCAATAATATCGTATCTTCGTGTTTCAAATCGTGACATGAGTGCATCCTTACACCCCTTACACCACATATATATATATATATATATATATATCCCACCATTACAAAAAACATTGTTAAACCATTATTTAATCTCTGATCTCTCTCACTTTTATACAATCCTGACACCTGCTGGTTAATTTGTAACATAATCCTTTGAGGGCTTCTTGTGTTTCTAAGGTCGGCTGTGCAAATTAAGGTAGTATCAGATACAACAATTAAGTAAATAAAATAATTAATGAAATAATAAATAAATACATAAAAAGTGTAGTGAAAAATGCTGTTAAAACAGCATACTTAAAGGGATACTCCACCCAAAAATGAAAATTCTGTCATTATTTACTCATCCTCAAGTTGTTGCAAACCTGTATGAGTTTCTTTCTTCTGCTGAACACAAAGGAAGATATTTTGAAGAACGATTGGAACCAAACAGTTGTTTGGCACCATTGACTTTCATAGTAGAAAATAAATAAATAAATAAATAAATACTATGGAAGTCAATGGTGTCAAAGTTCCAATCGTTCTTCAAAATATCTTCCTTTGCGTTCAACATAAGAAAGAAACTCACACAGGTGTGTAACCACTTGAGAGTGAGTAAATGTTGACAGAATGTTCATTTTTGGGTGGAGTATCCCTTTAAATTCCTAAAAAAAGTATAATTCTGTTATAATTTTAATAATTTACCCTCATGTTGTTCCAAACCTGAAATTATTTATTCTGTTGAGTGTTGAACATAACATAAGATATTTTTTGATGAATGTCTGTAAACAGACAGGTGATGGCACCGATTGATTTAAGTTAAAGCATGGATCACCTTCAATGTAAAATATTTCATATAGACCCACATTTAAATATAAATAACATTTAATTCGGTTAAACAAATGTTTATACTTAATTTATAATTGTAAAGTTCATGAGAGCATGATTCAACTGGTTAGCTTGATAAGAAAAGGACAAAAATCAAGTTGCATTTAGTGAGTTCGATACATTACAAATGGATATCCAATGATTATAATTAGGGCTGTCAAATGATTAATCGCGATTAATCACTTCCAAAATAAAAGTTTGAGTTTACATAATATATGTGTGTGTAGTGTGTATAATTATTTTGTACATGTATAAATACACACACATGCATATATATTTAAGAAAAAAAAAATATTTTTATATAATATAAATTATATATAAATCTATATACAGTATATACATGAAAATATTTCTTAAATATATACAATCATGTGTGTGTATATATATATATATATATATATATATATATATATATATATAAAATAATTATACACAGTGCAGCCACATATATTATGTAAACGCAAACTTTTATTTTCGATGCGATTAATCGTTTATTTCCTATGGAAGCTTGTTTCCACCACTGAATAAAACAATTAATAAGGCAGTAGTGATTTTTTTTTTTTTAAATCTCACAATTCTGACTTCTTTTGTACTACACAGTATATCTCACTATTGAAACAATTTAGTGAGATAAACTCAGAATTATGAGAAATTGCGAGTTTATATCTTGCAATCCTCACTTGTTTCCATCTCGCATATCTCACAATTCGGACCTTTTTTAAATAAGGTCAGAATTGTGAGATACAAAGGCGCAATTACCTATTACCAGTATCTTATATTCATCTGTTAGGTTTGCAAAGACAAAGATGGCACACTGCACAGTAATTTACTGTGTCCCGTGGATGTGTCCGAGATGCCTTTAGGAACCCTTCCTGACATTGAGAATGCAGCAGAGGCCGTACGACTCCTAGACTCCATGAAGGACTCCCAGAATCCATTCTTCCTGGCTGTTGGCTTCTATAAACCTCACATTCCTTTCCGAATCCCACGGGTGTGTGTTTGTTTTTAGCGAAGCATATGACATGCTGTATGAGCAGCTGTTAAATCTGGGAAATATTGCATTTTTATAGGAGTACCTAAAGCTCTATCCTATTGAGAATATGACTCTGGCTCCAGACCCAGATGTTCCTAAGAAACTTCCTGATGTGGCCTACAACCCCTGGACTGACATCCGCAAGAGGGAAGATGTTCAGGCGTTAAATCTGAGCTTTCCTTACGGCCCCATTCCTAAAGATTTCCAGGTACTAGTCACACTTCGAGATTTAGTACTAGCATATCATTGGCATGATATAGGTAATTTGATCTCTTATTATATTTTTTCCGTCCTCATCTTGTAGCTGCAGATCCGACAGCACTACTTTGCCTCGGTGTCATATGTGGATGCTCAGGTGGGAACAATTCTGCAAGCCCTCGATGATTTCGGCCTCGCCAAGAACACTATTGTGGTGTTTAGCTCCGATCACGGTTTGTTGAAGAATCAATTTAGATAGTACATTTGGTAACATTAGTTAATGTAATAACTAACAATGAGCAATACATTTGTTACAGTATTTGTTAATCTTTGTTAATGTTAGTTATCAAAAATCCAGCTGTTTGTTCATGTTAGTTCATGCATTAACTAATGTTAACAAATAAAACCTTTGATTTTAATAATGTATTAGTAATTGTTGTAATTATTATTAACTAAGATTAATAAATGCTCAAGAAGTATTGTTCATGTTAACTAAGGTAGTTGAAACTTCTTGTAAAGTGTTACCGTACATCCATTAGATGGCAGTATTGATGCATTTGGTTTATATTAATGCTGAGATTTTCAGTCTGTTCTGTGGGCTTCCATTTTATTCTGAATTCACATACTGGTAAGTTTTTTTCAGAAATGATGCTGTCACAGTTTTTTTTGTTTCATTTAGCACAAATTGCATTTTGAATTGTCGGTTCAGTTAGTCTATGGCTGACGTTTTTTTTTTTATTATTTCTGTCATAATGCAAACATTCATGCAGTGCATTAAGTGGCTCTTATACAGGGTTGTGCAAAATTCTGAATATATTAGTAGGCTCACCTTTAATGCATGAATTTGTATTGAATTGGCCTAGAATGATTGATTGAAATGACAGCAAGATATAATTTTTTTTTTCAAAGAAATTCCACTTTGGCAACATGAAGCAGTTTTGATTTAGTATCAATGAGATACAATTGTAGTTTTTATTCATATTTTGAATTAGATTTTATCTTTATACTTTAATTTTATTATTATTTTTTAATTTGAGTAATTTAGGTGTGTGTGTGTGTGTGTTTTAAATATGTCTGTAGTTATTATTATTATAATTATTATTATTAGTTATTTTGGTACATCAGGCTAAACTACATAAAAATGACAAATGTTGCCTTGGCAACTAGCTGAGATAAAATGCGTTTAAGTTATTTCAAATTTTATTTCATTTAAGTTAGCGTTTATTTTATTTCAAGTCACAAAATGTTTTTTATGAAAAGTTTCAAAAAAAAAAAAAATAATAATATCCCTGACATGAATAAAACGCATAACCTCTTAAAAATATCTATAATAATAATGGTATAAAATGTTCTTAAATATTACATTATACAAAAAAACAACAACAAAATATATATATATATATATATATACATGCATGGCAACAATTTACAATAAAGTCTAATTGGTTAACAGCTAATTCTTTAATTTACATGAACTAACAATTAGAAAATATATTTTTGCAGCATTTATTAACCTTTGTTAATGTTGGTTAATAAAAATGTTCATTATAATCTTAAAAATGTATTAATAAGTGTAGAGATTTACATTGATGCTGTACAAGTGCAGTTTATTCTTAGCTTATGTTAACTAAAGTAGTTAAAGAATGAAATCTTATTGTAAAGTCTTACACACTATAAATTAAAAACATATTGCACATAATTGGTGCTATTTCAATATCTAATGTTTCTGGAAATACCCCATATATGTTGTATTATAACATTTTATTTAAAAAAATCTTGAAGCTAATTAGTTAAATTTGTCTCCTTTTTAATTCTAGTTTCTGCGTTCATTCGTTATGCCACAATTATGTTATACCTTAAATGAGAGACACTGCGTTTGAACTGCTCGTTCTGTGACTCGGAGCACTTTTCTCACGGTTAACTCTCTCCCTCTCTCTCTCTCTTTCTCTCTCAGGTTGGTCATTAGGCGAACACGGCGAGTGGGCCAAATACAGCAACTTTGATGTGGCCACCCGAGTGCCATTGATCGTGTACAAGCCAGGTGTGACCTCACCTCTCTCTCGGCCCGGGGAGAAGACGTTCCCCTTCATCGACGTGTTTCAGGGCACGCGGGAGCAGTTTGGCAAAGGTAATGTTACTCAAAGCAGCTGTCATCACGCAAAGACCGCAAGGGTCCTTCACAAGTATCCGAGACTCCAACCGAAGTCACTCAAGCGTGTGATATCAGCTTACTGGAAACGATGTTATGCCTAAAGTATCGGCCCATTTAGAGCTTTGATTCTTCTTTTGGCTTTTGTGCAGTGCAAAGGTTTTACCGAGAGCACACGCATCTGGTGGTGCTTCTCGCTTTCAGCTCTCAAGTGCACATTTGTGGCAATCTTTAGAAAACACCCAGCATAAGCAGCTGGAGTAATGACTGTAATGATAATGCCACAGCATAGAGAAGCTAATAAGTCCTGAGAGTTATTGCTCTCACAGTGGGCTCTGGATTGTTGCTTATTGTTGCTCTAATAAACTGTGCTATATTCAGTAACCGTATCAGTAAATTTCATGGAGATTTCAGAGCTGGGGCCAGAATAGTGGCTAAATTTAGTGTGAGGATTTCATGCATTTATTTATATTTCATGGTTCGTTATGGCAAAGACTTGGGTTTCATAAGGAAAAACTACAACGACAACAGAAATGTTTAGCAATAACGTGTTCAGTTTAAAGACAGACATGCTATGAGGCCTTCGGCTATTTTAATGTGCTTTGTACAAAAGGATTTACCTTGCTTATTTTTTATAATTCAGTGTTAATTGCACAATTAGAAGAGTCACTGTTAGAAACAGAAATTAAGGCAAAAAAAAGTCTCCATTTATAAAAGAATCCTGAAAAAAAACAAAAAAAAACAAGACTGTTTCCACAAACTTATCTCACTTGCACAAAAGCAGATTCAGTATTCAGTAGTCGGCCACTGATTGTGCAAGTTCTCCTACTTATAATAATGAGAGAGATCTGTAATTTTCATCAAAAGTACACTTCAACAGGGACAAAATGAGAACAAAAAATCCAGGAAATCACATTGTAGGATTTTTAAAGAATTTATTTGTAAATTATGATGGAAAAATAAGTATTTGGTCACCCACAAACCAGCAAGATTTCTGGCTCTCTCAAAACTTCTTCTTTAAGAAGCTCTTCTGTCCTCCACTAGTTACCAGTAATATTGGCACCTGTTTGAAGCCGTTATCTGTATAAAAGACACCTGTCCACAGCCTCAAACAGTCACACTCCTAACTCAACCATGGCCAAGACCAAAGAGCTGTCGAAGGACACCAGGAAGAAAATTGTAGACCTGCACCAGGCTGGGAAGAGTGAATCTACAATAGGCTAGCAGCTTTGTGTGAAAAAAAATCAACTGTGGGAGCGATTGTAAGAAAATGGAAGACATACAAGACCACTGCTAATCTCCCTCGATCTGGGGCTCCACGCAAGATCTCATCCCGTGGGAACGGTGAGCAAAAATCCCCAAACTACATGGTGGGATCTGATGAATGACCTGCAGAGAGCTGGGACCACATTAACAAAGGCTACCATAAGTAACACACTACACCGAGAGGGACTCTAATCCTGCAGTGCCAGGCGTGTCCCCCTGCTTAAGCCAGTACATGTCCAGGCCCGTCTGAAGTTTGCCAGAGAGCGTATGGATGATCCAGAAGAGGATTGGTAGAATATCATGTGGTCAGATGCAACCAAAATATAACTTTTTGGTAAAAACTCAACTCGTCGTGTTTGATGGAAGAAGAATGCAGAGTTGCGTCCTAAGAACACCATACCTACTGTGAAGTATGGGGGAGGAAGCATCATGCTTTTGGGCTGTTTTTCTGCAAAGGGAACAGAAAAACTGATCTGTGTTGAGGGAGGAATGAACGGGGCCATGTATCCTGAGATTTTAAGCCAAAACCTCCTTCCATGAGTGAGAGCCTTGAAGATGAAATGTGGCTGGATCATCCAGAATTACAATGATCCCAAACACACCGCCCGGGCAATGAAGAAGTGGCTCCGTGAAAAGCATTTCAAGGTCCTGGAGTGGCCTAGCCAGTCTCCAGACCTCAACCCCAGCCCCGAAACATCACTGCTCTAGAGGAGATCTGCGTGGAGGAATGGGCCAAAATACCAGCAACAGTGTGTGCAAACCTGGTGAAGGCTTGCCAAACGTTTGACCTCTGTCATTGCCAACAAAGGTTGCGTTACAAAGTCTTGATTTGAACTTTTGTTATTGCCCAAATAAATGCGTTAAAAATCCTACAATGTGATTTCTTGCATTTTTTTTATTTTGTTTCTCATAAATGACAGACCTCTGTCATTATTCTAAGTGGGAGAACTTGCACAATCAGTGGCTGACTAAATACTTTTTGTCCCCACTGTAAGTGTTGAGCTTTCTTCTCCTGCGTCCTTTTCTTTTGTTGATAAAAAGCAAACAAGAAAACCCAGCCGAGGTGAGAAAAAGTAATACACAAGTAATGTAACACTACTTTCCATAAAGAGTACACTAAAGTCTGGCTGCTAAAAATTCAGCTTTGCCATCACAGGAATAAATTACATTTCAAAATGTATTAAAATAGAATAACGGTTAGTTTAAATCACTACAATAGTTCACAATACCATTGTTTTTACTTTTGCACGTTAGTGTATATTTATGAAATTGGTAATCATCCGATATTGCATCAATTCAAACACGGTTTTGTTTTATAGCATAATTTCAGATTGAATTGCGTTGCAAATTGCAATGCATGTAGTTCGTTTCCTCATAAAAGACATTAAGTATGCAGTATTGTCCATTTGTTTAGTTTATTCAGTTTTTTTAAGGCTGTGATTCATCTTGAAACTAGCTAATTTAGTTCATGTAAAGTCTTTACAGAAGATTGTTTTCAAATACCTATGGTGAAAATGAAAGGGGAAAAATGCTTTTGGAATAAGGCGGCTGTGTGAATGTTCACTGATAAGACCTGTTCACACCAAGGAGGACGATCAAGATCATTCTCAGTATTAAAAAATAGCAGAGTTCATTGGAATCACTTTCAGAACGATTTTATCCAGATGATGAACAATAAAGACATTGACAGCCAATCAGAATCCATCCTGCTGTAATGAGCTCAAGCATTTAAAGCGGCAGTGCTTATAATAAACAGAACGATATCGCTCGCTGATGTGGACGCTAATAAAAATATCTTTATAGTTATACATTTTTGGTGTGAAGGGGCCTTTATGCTCTATAGGATCGCACTACGCTATCTCACGACCAATTCGTATGAGTGATTCAAAAGTGGCTAATTCGTACTAATTCATACGACCTCACTCGTACGAATTCATACGATTTGTCTAAACCCACGTGACGGTTATGTTTAGGGGTGGGGTCAGGGGTAGGTCATTCGTACGAATTCATACGAATTGGCTAATTCGGAAAATATGTACGATTTAGCAAAATCGTACGAGTGAGGTCGTACGAATTCTTACGAATTAGCCACCTCGTAAAATTCGTACGAATTCCCGTAAGATCGGGTTGGATAGCAAGTTAAAATATTAATAATAACAAAAAGATTAGCCAGCCAAACTAAAGCTCTGTTTTCAACAAGTGTGATGCAGTTATACAACACAGTATATTTTGAGGGGGGGAAAAAAGGCTACTGAATATGATGCTAAACATTTTGTTTTTACACTTAAAAAAAAGAAGGATTTTTGCGAAGTTGTAAATAAAGATTATTGGAGTACGTTTTAAGCTACATGAAGAATTTCAGCGCTTCTACTTCCGAATTTAACATGGAACTTGCCCCTTCTTTATAATAGCCGAATTGTGTAAAGTTGAGTAAAAATGGTTGGTTCTGAGAAATAATCATAACAGAATAATGCTATGCATCTGAATCTCAGTGAGAATTTCCATCATAGCTTTCCATCAGGCCTCTTTTGTCCTTCTTTGCACCTCTCAGGTCAAGGGGTTGAGAGCATGGTGGAGCTGGTGGATGTTTTCCCCACACTGTCGAACCTGGCCGGACTGGGTCCCCTGCGCCGCTGTCCCGTGTCATCCTTTAAGATGGAGCTGTGCACCGAGGGCGTTAGCCGGACCCGTCTCATCCCAGAAAGGCGCCCCAACAGAGAAGGCTACTCGTTCAGCCAGTTCCCTCGGCCCTCCGACTCCATCCAGGAGAACTCTGACCTGCCCGACCTCGCCGATATCCGCGTCATGGGCTACTCCATCCGCTCCACTGACTACCGCTACACATTATGGGTGGGCTTTGACCCGCTCCACTGTCAGCCCAACATGACGGACATCCACGCGGGAGAGATGTACCTCCTGGCTGAAGACCCGGGAGAGGACAATAACGTGTTTGAGGAGTTCGATTACGCCACTGTATTGCACAAGCTTGGCATGCTGCCGTCATGGACGGAGAGTTTAAAGCATCATGTAATGTATCTCAGCAGCGGGTTGAAATCAAAAGGGATTATGTGATTCTAGTTTCAAAGAAAAGGGAATGTTTATGTTACAAAACCTGCCGGGAACATGTCTGGACATGCTTCATCAAAAACTGAAAGACCGAAAATAAAGCCTATATTATGGGAATGAAGATTGTTTTGCTTATATTGTCATGATAACGAAGTAACTCTCCCACCTAATATCATGATCATAATGCTAATAACTTTTCATTCTCATTACTGTACCATTTTTATAATAAATTATATTTTCACATTAAAGTATTTGTGCATCATGGAAGAATTTGCTATATTGCCTTTAATTTATTCTGATTTAAATAAAAATTGAGAAATGTTACATAATAAATAATCTTAAACAGAATTGCAGTATCTGTTTTGCACTCACAGTTGGATTCATCCTATTTTAAGCATTAAGATTTCTATAAAAGAGCTTTCAGACCTCATTCAAAAGAATATATATATATACACACACACACACACACACACATATATAATATATATATATATACACATATATATATGAATATATATATTTGTGATTTGTTTTGGTTGATTTATTTAATAGACTAATCATGTACCTCATAAAGTTGCTATGGAATAAATTTCCTTAACGCTTTCCTTAAAAGAATAAAAGGTAATATTCACTCTTGTTAAGTATATTTAAGGTTATATCGTGATAAATATGAGTCCATAGACTTAATTTCCTCGTTCCCTTCAGAACGTGATGCATGGAAATGATGTAACGTCAACTTAAGTGAGAAATGAGTTTAATTTAAGTCTCTGAGAAATAGAAAGCTCTGCTCAGACAACACTGCTTCAGCAATTTATCAGGTCACTAAGTCGTAATTGTATTTTGTCTTGGAGGCCAATGGAGACTCTGCCAGCACACTGCTCTTGTTTTCCCAGCAAGCGTGATGAAAATCAACTTAAATATAGAATTTCAAGTCATGCGCTCCCACTGCACCCGTTGCCAAGGTAATTAGATACTTAAATGTGAAAACTTGCAAATGATGTTGCCCGGATACACCTCGGAGAATAGTTTAACAGTGATGAATGATTTGGCCAACATTAAAAAAAATGAAAGCGATTGCTGCAGCGTCTTCGATTAGATTAGCAGCGTTTGCATGTTGTGACGTCACCGAGCGTTTTCTCCCTAGACTCATTTCATGCCACAAGACTATGGCAAGCCGTTTTGACTTATTAATTCCAAGGTTATGGATTCTGGATATCAACTATTCAATTTTCACTAGTTAAAAATGTGAAATCTTATCAGGAATTAGATTTCTACTAGTAACAATGGCAATTCTTGATATAAAAATGACGTCAAACTCAAAATAGTAAGTTATCTGAACTAAATAAATGATTTAAGTTGATTTGACAAAAGAAAACAGCACTGTAAAAAATATTTTCAAGATTTGTTATCACAACATTTTTTCTTTTGTCAAATCAACTTAAATCATTTATTTAGTTCAGATAACGTATTATTTTGAGTTTCTGATGATTAAATCATTCTCCTTCACTCTCCTTTGTATTAACTCACTTTTTCCAGATCAACTTAAAAATTTTAAGTGCAACCAGGTTACTTAATTTTTTAAGTTAAACCAACAATATTTTTTTTACAGAATCACATTCATTAGTGACAATCGAATTATTGATATTCATTTTTATTTATTTTTTTTTTTTACTATATTTGCAATTCAATTGTTGATATAAAGAATAGACACTAACCACATGATTATTTATTTAGAAAAATATGATTTTTACTAGTAAGAATGAATGTAATTTCAACTAAGAAATTAATTAAAATCAACAATTGAATTTGAATTACAGCCTATGACATTTAAGTCGTGATTGCAGATTACAGATATCAATAATTATAATTTTTACTAGTTGATATGTATTTCTGCAAGTGAAACATCATTGTTGATATCAAGAATGAATTTGAATATAAATAGAATATAAATTTAATTCTTGACATCAAGATTAAAAGTCAAAACGGCTTGCCATTCCTGGGATATCAATTCTTGATATCAAGAATAATATGTTGTACTAGTTGACATTTAATTCCTGATGTGAAGAATTCATATTTCTGCGATGACGTCATTGTTGATATCAAGAATTACAATTTTTTACAAGGAGAAATCTAATTCCTGTTATCACGAATTGGCATTTTAACTAGTGGAAATTGAATAGTTGACATAAAAAATTCATATCTTGGGAATGAATAAAAGTCAAAACGCTATGCCATACTAGTCTGCATTTTAAACACTTCTACCTGCTTTCTCTTTTCAGGTTTATTTTGGATTCACTGCACTCTTTGGTGTTCGATGCCACATTGTTTACACCTGCAGAGTATGAATTATTTTTGAAGGAATATTTTCAATATTTATGCGGCAACATAAATACATTTTCTCGCTTTCTCTCAGAAGGAAAAACAACAAAACAAAGCAAGCGCATTATTTTTGTGTCTGTCCTTTTTCAAGTGTGTTCTTATAAGAGTGCAGCAGGAGTGTTATACTGAGGGGATCCTTTGGGACCGCCAATATATTCAGCTTCAGCAGACAGGCTTCATTGCCAGCTGGTCCGGAAAATTCCACTGCTGTCTCTCTTTTTTTTTTTTTTTTTCTTGTCGACTAAAAGCAAGGTCAGGGCAGTCGGAGAAGAATCCACAGGGCTGATTGAAGCCGATATTTGAATTGCTCATACCAAACTTGGCCTTTCTTGTTGATTCTGTGATACTTTAGGATTGAAGAGTCTTTACATTTCCTAATAAAAATATCTATCTAAATATCTATCTATAGATATCTATCTATATAAATCTAAATTGCTCCTCTCAATATATTCTAGCAAGAAAAAACAACCAGTTTTGCGGATATATTGCGCTACTTTACTTTTGTGTTATTTTTTTCTCACCTGGGCTCCCAGACAGCAACACAAACTCGGCCCAGATCCGGCCCACATCCTGGCCAATGTAAAGGCCCTTTCACACCAGAAGTGAAACGAAGAAGCCTCAGGCTGACAGAAATGCAAATTCCTGCCTGACATTGGTTAATAAAGTGAGATTAAATACATAAAGTATATTTTTGTAATGAAACACACTGCAGGTTTGCGTAATCTTCTGAGTTTTGCAGTTCACATTCATCTTGAGGAATACCAAATCTGTATTTTGTGCAAGTTAGATGAGTAAATGTATGTTCACATTTAGTCTAGAACTACAATAACCATCATATATAGGGCACACAACGCCTCTGTACTTGAAACTTGGGGACGAGTATTTAAAAAAGTATTTGTATTTGAAAAAGTAATTGAGATATTTTGTAAATTTAAAAGTAATGCGCTGCTTTACTAGTTGAAAAAGGTCTGATTACGTACACTATCTGATGTTACCAACACTGACAATAACTTACCAAAACCTGTCATGCATTGTTCCAACAAACATTGACGTATAGTATTATTTTAACATTTGTGCCCTATAACCTAAAGACTAACATCTAGAAAAAGAATTAGAGCGGGTGATGATAAATGGTTTGTATTAACTCCATTATGTTGGGTGATTTCAAACACAGAATCAATGCACACATGGTTAGGGATCACTGCTCTGGATAATAAACATTGATTTCCATAAGCACAGTGAGAATGTGAGTAATTACGCCTGGAGTTTGATAGTGGGTTTTCTTGTCTCAAATGCTGCAATTTTTTTTCCAAAGTTATAGTGACTGTGGAAAAGCATCCAAAAACAATAGCTGGCAAACTTATGCGTAAACCACTGGATGAACAAGTGCAAAAGTCACACTGCATTTCTTCTTTTGGGTCCTCTATAATGTTTGACTTGAACAGGTGAAAAAAAATATATATCATCATTCTTTCCCAGATTAAATACTTTTTTTTTTTTTTTTTTTTTTTGGATTAGGCTACACGTTTTTGGAAATGCATGCTTAAAAATGCAAATGAGTCATAATGTAATTAAATATCCAGAAAGTACTGTCAACAGCCTGAAAAATAAAATACTCCCCTTTGAAACCTTCACAATATATAGATACAGGATTAATAGTTTGCTGCTGAAATGGAGATATATGCACACAAGTGTTACAGTTTTATTATATTTAAATTTAAAACATGAATTAAATACCTTTTTAATCTATTCATTTATTAATCAATTTATACATTCATATTTACCATTATATTATATTGTGCAACACCTTTTTTACAGTGTCCTTGTTTCATAACTTGCATGCACTTATTGTAGTAATATATTAAGCATAGTTGATCCTATGACTAACTGTGCGTTCACACCTCCGCTGGCGAAAGCGTCAAAGTGGCTGGAAGTCGTTCATTCTAAATGAGCTGATTACTTTATGGTAATAAGCAATGACGCAGTTCGGCGGCAACCATAGACAGTAAAATGGACAGAGCGACCCCACTGATTTCAACGGAGAAGACTGAAGCCCGATTTTTGCACTTCCTGTCTGATGTCTGAGCGACTGCGCAGATTCAAACTGAGCATGACGACAGTCTGACAGCTGTAAATCTAGTAGCTGTGCCAAGACAAAACATTGTTGAAATATTTTGTCCCGTTGCTTTTATGGACTCTCTATCTATGGGCTTCTCCCTTGACTTTGTGCCTCCATGTCCCCCAGATTGGCCTCACAGACAGTAAAAGATTGCCTGCGAGCTTCTCCTCCTGTCTATACGGTAATGTCTCTATTGTGCGACAGAAAGTTGCGTAGTGATGACGCAATCTGTAGCATATTTTTCACAAAAACGACAACTACGGGACCGTAACGTAAAATACAAAGTAATGGAGCGTTTTATACATTGTCATGTTTCTTTAGAAATAAATAATGGACAAATGAAGTCTTTGGACGCCTCAGATGTAATGTTATTCGCTGTCAAAGTGACGCCAAAATGAATGGGAGTCAATGGGAGGCTAACAGCAAGTGAAGTTCTGCTACAATGGCGGCTACAACTTCCGGCTGATGGATTACTCCCTTGGCGGCAACAAATGTAGAGGAATGTAGAAGAGCTCCGTTTGAGAGAATTCCAGAGAACGCAGTCCTGTAAACTTTGGTTCCGACCGCATTAGTTCCCAAGCAAAACAGAGTAGGTTCATTTGAATTTGATAAGAGGGCGCGCAACGCTATTTATAGGCAAGATTTTCATGCTAGAACACTTTTTCAGCGAGAATGCAAATTATAATAGCACTTAACCATGAACACAAAAGCCACACCACACAAATGGATTTTAATTAATTTCCTTAGCAAACATGTTACTATAATTGTC